GATTTTCAAATTTTGTAAAAATAAGCAAAAATAATTGAGGTAAGTAAATATCAATGTTGGGTATAAGATACTCATCCTGATGGCTGGGGTACTTTGTTATATAATCAAAAGTACTGAAATTAAGAAAGATGATATCATTGTTGGATTCAAAATAGAAAGCTTTAAAAAACAACAGTTTATGAGCAACTAGATGGGAGAGACTAAATTATTCAATCCTTAAAATTGGTCTTAACTTGTAGATAGACATAATATATTAGCATATATTAGCACAAAATTCTTCCCTGCTCTCTAGCTGAAAATTACAGCAAAAGCTAAACTTTATTTCTTACATGACAAACTCTTTTTTATATTCATTAGAACTCCTTATACCCAACTGTGCCAAGATGCTTTCAAAAATTTAGTCTGAGAAATGTAGATATTAAAAATAAACATAATTACATTAAGAAAATTCTCAAAATGTATTCATATTGCAACTGGGATTTTATTTTCCTAGTATGTAAATTTCAAAACTTCATTTATAAAGCAGATCCCAATATTTGGGACATATATTAAAATATCTGAAAAAACACAGAGGGTTATGAGCACACATTTCAAATAGGCTTTTGTAATATTCATACATGACTGCAACAATACTGACATCACAGTTCAATCTGTTTTAAAAGACCAAATAAAAACTATTTATGGTATTTAGACAAATAAGGATTAATACTAATATTTGTAGAAGTAACTGAAAACTTCAAAATTCTTGAAGAAAATAGAAAAATGATACTGAAATTTGAAGATTTTATACCTTTTATGAAAATAAGCATAAGCCATTCTAACAAAAGGAAGCACCTGCTTAGACTTTAGTGCTTTTACCTCTAATAACAACTGGAGACCCTGTAATTGTTAGGAATCAAGTTCAGGCACACATTGAAAGGAAAATTAATAAAGTAAACAGAACATTTAAAAAGGCAGTCTTCTGTAGAACATCAGGAAAAAAAAAAACAACAACAACAAAAGGCTTCCTATAAATATGTCAAATTAATAAAAGCATCAGACTTTTGGTTAGGCAATTTCAATTATTTTAACTAAAGTGTTATTTTCAGTATTTGAAATTATGGAATATTTAAAGATAGCATTCTTCAATGTTGAAGCAATTTCTTTATGTAGTTTAAGTAATCCACCTCTTAATGTACTGTTGTAAGTTGTAAGATGATACTCAACTGTACTTATTCATCATCTATACTGTTTTAATAACAGAGTTATACCTAAGAAATTATTATTTGATCTTTCAACAAATTAAGGCTGTGCACACAGAGGGGGTGAAAGAGGTTAAATTGGTATTGATTACTTAAGACACATTCAACATTTAGTTAGCAACTTTCCTCATCACAAGAACTACTGTGTTTATAAAGCCCCTGCTGAGACACTTATTTCCAAATAATTCTTCCAAATGCATTAGAAATCAGATCACATTTTGCAGTGATATTAGTTTCAAGTCTCCTGATAAATCTGTTGCAGGATAGAAGTGGTTTATTAGACAAACTTAAACTTTATTTTACTAGTTTTCTTTTAATAGCTTTCATTAGAATTAAACTCATTGGGGAATCTATTTCCCAGCTTGAGCAATAGATTGCAGTTATATCTTACCAAAGAAATTTTATTAATGAATATTTGTAGTGTTCTGATATTTGTATAATTGTATCATGATGAATAATAATTCATAAATTACAATTTGTTGATAGCTTTAGAAGGAAAGTAAAAGTCTAACAATCATCTATAATGTGCAAGATTCTACAAGATTTTTTTGAAAATTATTATAAATAATTATATATAGTATAGAAAATTTATCTCAACATGGAAAAGATTGCATCATTGATGAATCATATATTCTAAATAATCACACAACTCATTACATTTAAAATGCTTCATTTACTTCAAATTTATTTCTTTAAAAAATTTTCCTGTCCATGGCCCTCCCTAGGGCTAGCATCTCAGCATTATCAAGTTATTGCCAAACACTGTACCATGAGTTTGATCCCCAGCCAGGAAACTAACACATATGGCACAGCAAACCTCTCCTGTTTTGCACACTGCTCCTCTCAGCAGTGTATTTCAGAAGATCCACCTGTTCTTCTGCCCACTCTGTCTCCTCTTAGCAGTGTATTTCAGAAGATCCACCTGTTCTTCTGCCCACTCTGTCTCTGGTGAGTTCTCTCACTGATCCCTGCCCCTCTGGCCTACACCCCAGTTCTAGTATGCATAAATAAATAACATCTATCTTAAAAATTTATTTTGCTTTCCAGTTTTTTTCCATACAAAATGCACTAAAGTTTGTTACTACAGCTACATCTAGCTACTGGCATAATATTTCTTATGCTATCTTTGGTAATTTGTTGGTTCTGATGCTTATTTCCTAGAATAGATCACTGGAAAAGATGATTCACTAATTTGCCAGAACAGATTATTATTTTATGCTAAATAATAACACATATTTGTATCAGGGAATCCTTTAAGGAAATACTATCAAGAAACTTTTATTTTTTTAATTTTATTCCAGCAAAATATATTAAATGTTTACTAAAAATTATGAAAGAAGGTAAGGAAAATGATAATTTAGTAACAAATAACTATGTTCATGGATTTATTTTACTTAAATATTCAGTGAGCTAAACAGTATTAAATAATAAATGCAGAAATAAGAAAATATCTACAAGGACATTGAGAAATAAGAGGTTGCTAGTAGATACAGCTTTCTCTCCCCACAGGTACTATTCATTTCTTAACAATGATTTCTCACAATCACAAATAGTGTTACAGATCTCTTATGTTCTATAATTAAGTCATCTACAAATTTAGAATATTAGAGTCTCAAGCATTATTTTCTTAAATTAAATTAAAGGCACTCCTTTAACCCAAATATATATGCTTTCCATTTATTTTAAGAATACATGACTTTGCATAAAAAATAGATTAAATAATGTAATTTTTAAAAAGATTTATTTATTTATTCATACAGAACAGGGGTATAGGCTAGAGGTTCAGGGGGTGAGAGGATTCACCAGAGACAGAGTGGGAAGCAGACCAGGCAGATTGACAAAGTACACTGCTGAGGGGAGCAGCAGGCAGGCCAGAAGAGGTCTGCCGCACCATGTGGATCACCTCTGGGCTCTGGAGTGGAACTTGTACTGAAGCGACCGTATCTTGCTTGTTCTTTAACTTGCTGTTCCACCAGGGAGGCCCCAAATAATGTCATTTTTCTGCATACTTGAAAACTGAGAGATTTGAAGTAGGTGTATAGTAAATTAACTTTGGGCCCTTCTTGGTAGTTTAGGGTTTAAAAGCTCAGCCCTACCAAACTGATGCCAATCACTATGGAGTGAGTTTGATTCCCAGCCATGGAGCTGACCCAGGTAGCATAGTAGACCTCTTATCTTGACTGCTGCTCCCCTCTGGGGTGTATTTAAATAGATCTGTCTATCTGCTCCTACTCTGCCTCTGGTGAATCCTCTGATCCCCTGCACCTCTGGACTAGACCCCTATTTTTGGATGCATAAATAAATAAAATAAATATTTAGAAAATAATAATTTAACCTGTAGTTCCTGTATCATATGATTTTGTTAATTGGAATAAAATCTGTGGGAACTATAGATTTATTACATTTATTAGACAATTCTGTCTTACAGATTTAAAAATCCATAAGCTATAAGCTATTATATGCAAAACACATAATAGAAGTATAGTCTAAAGATTCATATACTAATATTATGTCTTGCAAATTTTCTAAAAAGAATTTTTTTTTCCTAAGGAGATAAATGTTGAATTACTTGTGAAATACTCATTGAACTAGGTAAATTTTATTTCTTCTTTAAAATAAGAAACATAAATAGCATTTAAATGGTATGTAACACTGGCATTATTTAAGAAGAATTGTAGTCACAATATTGATGTTTAGAATATTTGGGTATCTAGGTTAAATATATATTAAATGTGAAAGAAAAATTCAAAACAATGTCATGACATCAATTTTACATTATATTAAAGTATTATTCATCAATATTCAAAAACAGGTTGTGTTGAAATTTGTGTTCAAAATATGCTTTATTTCTTAATGAAGAAAAATGTCTTTATATTAATATGCTTTTAAGTAATACAAAAGGAACATTCATTTTATATTGACATAATGAAAACAGATAAACATATGTTGTTTATATACCTTTTGAGGCAACCCAAAATATCTCTGCATATCAAAAAAGTGAAAAATAATATTAATGTCTGTTTTAAATAGAAGAAACAGTTCTCAAAAATGTTAGATACAAGTAAAAGAAGATAATTCATTTATTTCTCCAAAAAAGGAAGTTTAAAGTCATGAGCTTAGGCAAAAAGAAAATATATAGCTGCATTTAATCAAATTTGAGTCAGTTATCCAACATCATCAGCATTACTGAAGCAGTCTTGTATTAAAACATGTTTTACAATCCTATTTTGACAGTTGAAGTATTTCATACTCAGAAAAAAATGGTAACTTTCAATTAAATTACTTTCTGCCACATGCACTAAAGCCTAAGAGCTAAAATATTATTAAAAAGTTCTCTGCAAAGATGTTATTTCTTTTATGTGCCAGAATTTTAAAATGATGTTCTTGGTATTCAGTGATTGCAAACATAATAACTTTATTAAACTGTTAATAAATAAATTAGTACTTTCTTAAAAATAAATTATCCCAGTATTCTAATTTGTATCTTCCACATGTCTGCAAATTAACTAATTCAAAAGAGTGAATTAGAGATGTTGGTTTAGAAATGAATTAACAAGGTATTGGTATGCTAGCCACTGCGTATCATTACATTTTTTTTTCCCAGGGGGTTTCTGGGTATTATTTAAGAGCAAAAGATGAACTGAATGCCAGTAGATCCTATTAAATCAATGCACAAACACAGCAAAAGCAAAGGTAAATAAGCTGTAGAAGTCTGAATGTCAATAAAGAATATAAAAATGGTTTTATATAGCTACTCACATCATAGCCTAGAAGTTCAGTCTGGGTAGATTTATCTACTCTTGAAGCAAAAGCCTTCTGCAAATGCTGAACTTTTTCCTGCAAAATGAAAAAAATAACACATTGTTGGTGAATCATTTGCTAACATACTAACATTCCCCACTTACTAAAATTTGATGGATTTATAATTCATTTTTATTTCTGTGTATACAGTTGTGCATTGTAGATAAGCTTAAATATTTAGAGCTTTATTTTTCTGGTCTTAACAACCATACCTTTATCATCTTATTTTTAATACAAAAATCACTAAGTAGCCTCCAATTGAATGCTACAAGATGTATGATTTGCTTAAATCCAAGACCAAGATCAATTACTTAGGTTATGTTTGTTGTTAGCTGTCTTATGTAAACTTAAATTCATAGGAATGTGTTGATCTAGTATCAAAGCAATTGCATTTTATTTATTTATTTATTTAATCTTTTAAAAATGTATTTATTGCATCATCCTTCATTTTCATACAATGTATGGTTTTCCTGTGTAATTCAACTACTAATTCACCTGTGCACCAGGTCTCTCTCCTGTCTTGATCCTTACCCCTCCTCCTTCCCTACAGAATGTCTCTGATCTATAATTGCCTGATGATTTTGATTTTTACTTTCTTATAGTCAATTTTTTCTTCCTGATTCCTTACATTTTAAATCCAGAAGGTTTTCTATAAATATCACTACTACAATGGATTCCATGTAACTTTTTTTCTCTCTCTCTTGTTTCTTTCCTCTGGGAAATAAAAACTAGCAATCTGCAGTTTAAGGACTTTGACATTTATCCAACCTTGTGATAAAACAGGGGAGTGGCATGATGGAAGTTTGAGATTTCATACTCTAATTGAAAATGTTTTAATTCTGGTTTTGTAGACGGACTGCAATTGTGGTTTCCTCTCATTCCTAAGTGTGCATATTATATAAAAGGGGGAGCTTGATGTTATTATGATGTCATATTTCTAAGTATCTGACATAGCTTTGAGCACTGAAATCACATGTTTACATTCCATCTTGAGATTTTCAGTCATTTGTACCCACTTTCAATTATAATACTACAGTTTAAAAAGTGTAAGAAACTTGAAAAACTTTCCAAGAAAGTTCACATGATTCCATTTGACTATTTTGCTTTAACTTGCTTTAAAGAAGAATTTCTTTCATTTTCCTTTTTTAACTCATGAATGTTTAAAAAATAGTTGCATGCTATCTTTTTTTTTTAAAGATTTATTTATTTATTCATACAGAAATTGGGTACAGGCCAGAGATGCTGAGGGTGAGAGGATTCACCAGGGACAGACTGGGGAGCAGAACGGCAGATCGACGACGAAGTACACTGCTGAGGGGAGCAGCGGGCGTGTTAGGAGAGGTCTGAGGTGCCATGTGGATCTCTGGGGCAGGTGGGGATCATACTCATGTGGAAGTGGCTTAATCTTCTTAGTGCTGTGCTTTAACTTGCTGGCCACCAGGGAGGGCCTGTATGCTATCTTAATGATAAAAATTATGATTTAATTAATCATTTCCCAAGAAGGAATAGTGGTTATCACAAACCTTTCTACCAAGAACTGCCAATTATGCAAAACTCATCCTCTCTTATTTCTCTTCTCCTTCCTTTCTGTAAGGGAAAAATGATCGAACTCTATAGATACAGATTTTCTGGCTCCACCACCACCCAAATACTGGAACTACAAATCCCAGCAACACCAAAGCAAAGCATGCTGGGACCTGAGGATGGAGTTAAGCAGCCAGGTTTGGATATAAAACCTGACACATTGACTTTGGGGGTTGTGGCTCTCAGCTTGTCTCTTGGTTCTTTGCCAGCTTTCAGCATGTTCCTCAGGTCAGCAGAACTGGTAGGATGCATTAATCAACTTATCTCTCTTTCTCTTTCCCTTTTCTCTTGTAAATAAACCCATTATTAACCTTCTGTGTGTGTCTGCAGTTGAGTCTCAAGCACGTGGGTGAGGACCCACAGTCAGGCAACCCAACTCATACTGGGTTGCCTTGTAACATTTCCACAAACCTTACTTTTCCCCCTCAGTTCTCTCTCATCTCTAAGTTATCTAAGTAAGCTAACAAACTATTCGGACTGTTTAAGTAAACAATTTATTTTTGACTTGCTGAAATACAGAAACTTTAAAACTTTAAAAATAAGATAAATTACGGGCCCTCCCTGGTGGCGCAGCAGGTTAAAGCACAGCGCTGAGAATCTAATGCCGCTTCTGCATGAGTTCGATTCCCGCCTGCCCCGGAGGTGACCACATGGTGTGGCAGACCTCTCCTGACCCGCCTGCTGCTCCCCTCAGCAGTGTACTTCTTGATCTGCCTGTTCTGTTCTCCACTCTGTCTCTGGTGAAGCCTCTCACCGCCCCTGAGCCTCTGGCCTATACCCCAGTTCTGTATGCACAAATAAATAAATAAATCTTTAAAAAACAAAACAACAACAAAAAAAGATAAATTATTATTAAAGTAAAAAACAAATAAAATTTCAATCTACTTCATTAACTGATAAGAGAAACGACATATCTAAATCAAAAATTATTATCTTCATATATTCTTTAAAAACACCACAAATCATTTTTGTGAAAAAATTTAGTGTTACACTACTTTGCTGGCATTTTTGAAATAAAAAAATATGACATACTTGAACTATTTGTTATGTATGCATGTGCATATCAATATTACTACATGGAAGGAAATTAAAATTTCTAAATAGACATAGATGCAAATGGTTAAAAATTAAATACTATTTTGTGTGACAGTAGAGTAGAGACACTGGAGAATCCTGGGTGAGAGCTATGGGGCCAGGATGCTCTCCTGCCTGGGTGGAGACAATGGCAGTCATTATCTTGATTTGCATACTGATTTTACACCTTTTGCCAGAATTGTCTTTTCTTTCTCTTGTTATTCTATACAGATGGGAATTTACACTTTTGGTAAATCCTTAGGCCTCAGCAGCCCTGGGAATGCATAATTTAGGGTATTTTATTGGAAATCTATTATAGGATTATCCTTTCTTTCCGTCTGTCTCTATATTCACTGCTTCTAAAAAAGATCTGCCACACTAATAGTTTCTTTTGTCTTTTTGTGATGGATGGCTCATTTTAGAGCACATGCCCCTTAACTTTGGGATCTCTATGTAACCCTTCTTCAGTCATGTTATCACAGTGAAAGAAGTTGAATGAAAGATACAAATACCTGAAGTCTTCACTTATATGTGAGTTATAGAGAAATTTTAAAAAGCTACCATCCCTTTGAATACCTGTTATAACACCAGGAAAGTGGGTTACTTGATAAATCCATTTGGGAAACATGTAGCTTCCATCTGCCCTCTGGAGATTCACAACGTGTAATGGCATATTAAAGGTTTGCAGAAATCTCAGTGTAACAGTTCTTTGATTTTACATTAAATAAAGGTTCTGTTTCCCTTTTACCTTATAAATGATTTTCACTAACTGCATGATTATTTTGATTTTTTTTTATTATAGCTACTGTTATCCAATTAGATCTCTTGTTGGCTCTTCTACATTCCTCCTATAAGTGATACCATTCAATATTTTTATTTTTTCTTCTAAAGCTAGAAGAAAAAATAAAAATATTGAATATTGAAAAATAAAAATATTTCATTGAGCATAACCCCATCTAGCTCCAGCCAAGGCGCTGTAAAGGTCATGATTTTATCATTTTTGATCACTGAATAATATTCAATTATGCAACTACACCACATCATCTTGATCCTTTTTAAAGTAGATTCCCATCTTCAGGTTATTATTTTAAACTCTTTTATCATTGAATGACTCACATTTGAACTGACATTTATTAATTTGATTGCTTAGTTTTCTCCAATAATATAAGTTTCTTAGCTTAAGATCACATCTATTGAGAGCCACACATTCTAGGTACACACATTTTTTAAAATAAAGGAGAGATTTTATATGAGGTTTGAGATAACTCATTAGACATTAGTTGATGAAGTAGGTGTAATTCTGAAGGATTTCTTATAAGGAATTTAATATGGTTACCTGACAAGACAGTGAAATTTCTAGTATTGTATGGTATGTGAATTTAAGTAGATGCTTATGAAGAGTAACACATAACCGAAGGAACTATTGTAGCAATTCTAAGTTGTACAAGTACCTCAAGAGAAAACAGATAAAAGGAGGAGAAGGGAATTAATGTGACAAAAATGAGGATATAAAGAATAAGATTAAATCAAAGTGCCTGAGAATTTAATGGTAACATCAAGTGAAACAATTTTCAGCAATAAATTAGAATATATTTTCTAGAAAAGATTATATACTCCATCCTCATGACTGTATGAATTTTAAATTCTGAGTGAAAATAATACGACAATTCCTCCAATGAAGACAATTAAGAAATAAAGAATTAATATAAAAGTACCTTCTGTAGGAAATTATTCAGTTTTTTTTTTTAATATCTCACAGCCCAAACACTCCCTAATTAACAATATTCTGGTTTATGAAGTACATTCTATGTATTTGTCAGGGGATACTCAACTAATCTTGGCCCATGTTTGTAGCAAAGGACTAATGCAAGCAGTGTATTTCTTGTTTTGATTTCTACCTCTCACTCGGATTTCTTCATCTATAAACTAGAGGATATCCTGGGGATAAATAAACAAGCCTCTGACTGGCATGTCCTGTTCATAGAACAGAACCTCAGTCAATCAAGATAAACACACCAACACTTGCCCTGTTGGAATGACCTAAATTTTCTATTTGTATCAGCAACTCTACTGTTGCCGCTAGGTCACTTTAGATAAGAATGTATTAGAAGTTTACATGGCTACATTCCAACCCAGATTTGAATTGAATTATAATTTAATTTCTCTTAATTTTCTATTTTTCAATTAGCACTGAATTAAAGAGAGCAAAGAAGGATTTTTTTAAATTATGCCTTTTGAATTATCACACACATTTGAATACTTTTGAATAATAAGAGTTTTATATAGTTATTGGGGAGTTATAAAGATCAGAGAAACATAATTCAGCCATGAAAAATAAGTACCAATGAATACAGAAATCTGTTTATAATTGTTAAATT